ACGCGCTCTCAGCCTCAGGGAAGGCAATGGCAAACCTCCTCTGAAAAAACCTTGCCAAGAAAATCAGAAACAACTTGAAGGTTCCCAACAATAACAAAGAGTTGTTATACAATCAAATGCAAGCCTGAAAGTGGCTACTTTCTTTATGCAGAAGAAAATTATCTTAATCTTAGGAAGAAATTAGGAAAAATATGGGAGTGGAGGCTCTTTTTCTTTCTTGTCAAAACAAAGGACATCCCCCAACCTTTTAGCACAGGGGTAGGCAACCTAAGGCCCGGGGGGCTGAATGCGGCCCCCCGAGGCCTTTGGACCGGCCCCAGGCTGGTCCTGCCGCCGCCGCCCGCCATTATGATATTGATTATTTTTGTTATTACTTGTTCTTGGAGTTTTCTTGGCAAAATCTCCACAGGGGTTTTGCCATGGCTTTTCTGGGGCTGAAAGAGTGTGCATGAATATATATTTTATTTTTTTAAATGTTTTTAAATGTTTTTAAATGTTTTATTTTTATTTATTTATTTATGGTGCTTCGGCCCCCCAATTGTCTCAGAGACAGCAACCCGGCCCCTGGATCAAAAAGGTTGCCTACCCCTGTTTTAGCACATCAATGAAACTGCATATCTACAAGAAAAAGAGTGTTCCTTTCTAACGCTTATGGGTCCAGCAAAGAAATTTTTCTTCTTGAGGTAAGATGGAACCACCTCACCCTTGGAAAAACTATAGTTTACTCAGCTCAGCAGCAGACAGAGGATGCCAGTGTTTCCGTATCTGAGGCCATTGCTTCATTTTTTTCTAAGCATAATATCATCCCTGCATGACTTTAAAACCTGTGGTGTTTTGTTGCTGTTGTTGTGCACTTTCAAGTTGTTTTTGACTTGTGGTAACCCTAAGGTGAACTTATTACAGGATTTTCTTGACAAGATTTATTCTGAGGGGTTTTGCCTTTGCCTCCCTCTCAGGCTGAGAACATGTAGCTTGCCCAAGGTCACCCAGTGGGTTTCCATGGCTGAGTGTGGATTCAAACCCTGGTCTCCAGAGTCATACCACACTGGTTCTCATACTTTGTATTGCTCCTCAATATGAAGAACTTCTGAGAGACAACGGATGCACTGGTAGAAACAATGCAGTTTGACACAACTGCCATGACTCCATCCTACAGAATCCTAGGATTTGTAGTTTGGTGAGGCACCAGCAGTCTTGCAGAGGCAGTAACACACCTGGTGAAACTACAAATCCCAGGATCCCATAGGTTGGATCGACAGCACTTAAGAATAGTGTCAAACTGCATTATTTCTACAATGTAGATGCACCCAGAGATCCCTTCTTAGCCATGGAAACCCACTTGGGCAGGTCACACTCTCTCAGCCTCAGAGGATGATAATATCAACCCCTCCTCTGAAGAAACTTGCCATGAAAACCCTATGATAGTTTTGCCTTAGGGTTGCCACAAGTCAGAAATGACCTGAAGGCACTTAACAAGAAGAAGAAGAAGAAGAACAACAACAACAACAGATGCCATGTTGTGTATGTGTGTCCTACCTCCAGCCACAACCTGGGCTGAGCCATGTCCAAAATTCTCCTCCTCACAAAAGCACAGTTCAGACATCAGCAAGGAAGGAGGTACTAAAAGAAATGACAGTACTTGCCCATAGGGAAACCATATTTGCCCATAGAGAATCAGTGGAGAATACCTGCCCATAGAGATACAAAAATAATACTTGCCCATAGGGAAACACAAGGGAATACTGTATTTGTCCACAGAGAAACATTAGAGAATATTCGCCCATAGGAAAACACAGGGGACTATTTGTCCATAGGATAACATAGGAGAATACTTGCCCATAGGGAAACATTGGAGAATACTTGCCTACAAGGAAACATAGGGGAATATTTGTCCATAGAGAAACATTAGAGAATACTTGCCTATAGGGAAACACAGGGGAATATTTGTCCGTAGAGAAACATAAGAGAATATTTGCCCATAGGGAAACACTGGGGACTATTTGTCCATAGGGTAACACTAGAGAACACTTGCCCATAGAGGAATATCGGAGAATACTTGCCCATAAGGAAACATTGGAGAATGCATGCTCATAGGGAAACACAGGGGAATATTTGTCCATAGGATAACATAGGAAAACACTTGCCGATAGGGAAACATTGGGCAAGTAATGTTTCCCTATGGGCAGGTACAGTATTCTCCAATGTTTCCCTATGAGCAAGTATTCTCTCTAAGGCAGGGGTAGGCAACCTTTTTGAGC